CCCTTTCAAGACTATCTCGCCGCCTTCAGCTTCTTCAGCTCAACCTGCAAAAGGAAAGGCAATTGTTTATTGCATGATTGGACCACACTAGTTTAGTGGTATACGCTACTGGAGTAGACGAGATAATGACAGTGACAATGACATGGAAGAAGGAGCAGCCAACCCACCTCCACGTCTTCGTCCTCGTTCAGAAACTCCATAACCTACAATCATTAACAAAGAAGAACCAGAGCAGCCGAACGGGTTTCCTCGACCGTTGAACGTGCAGCCGTACACCCATATCGCCAAGCGTATGTTCATGGGCATGTTAACACTTGGTTTCTTGACAGCTGCTGTGGTCACCACATGGCGTCTTCAAGTCGCTATCTCCTCAACTGGCGAGACCTGCCAAACGGAGAAAAATACAACATCACAGTGGCCAACAATCAAGCTATTGAAGCCACCAGAATTGGAGATGTGATACTAGAGTTCGACGACACCAAATTTTACTTCACCTTAACAAGGTTCTTGTCGCCACGAGACTCAGCTTCAACTTATTATCACATGCGCTGCTGATGGAAAGTGGCATCTGCTTTGTCATCACCGCCAACACGATGCTCACAGAGTTGTACCTGGGCGACAAGAAGGAAGCAAAAAGAAATTTAGTCGGCATCGCAGAAATTAAAGACGGCGTTTCCGTTTTTCGGCTTTCACCTGTGAAAGCATCTGGCGACAGTGAGAAGAACATCTCACTTGCTCCTTGGCATTATCACTGGGAAACAGATCTTCAATGCCAAGACCATCATGGTCTCAATGTCTTCTACATCACGCCTCAGCCTTCTCGCACCAACTCCCTCAACGAACCTGCAGCAGAGCCAATAGAAGCAGCACCAGGAGAAACAGTTCTAAGTACATGGGCATCTGGAGATGGAAATTGGGGTCACGACAATCAAGAAACATTTGCTACAGTCAAAGAACCTATGGAGGTTGAACGCACATGAAGCAAGAAAGATTAAATTGTACCTGATGCTTGGGCGCATCGCCGACACCTTGGCATACCTTGGGTTGAAATTGTAGAAGAAGCCGGGTACATCCAGCCTTTCAGCACCGGCCGCTGCGTTAACTCTGCGCCAACGATTCATCTTTTGCCGGCCTTCTTCCTTCACTCTGATTTGTACCTGCGTTCAAAGGGACACTATACTACAGCAGAAAACTGGCACAAGCGATTAGGTCATCCCTCGCAAGAAGCTCTCAATAACTCAATTATAGCCTCAGTTTTCGACAAGGACGCTCTCCTTTTAACCAACGGCCAAGAGCTTCGACCTAGCAGTCGCCAAATAACGTGCACCATCTGCCCCAGAGCTCACCTAAGTCACGCTCCGTTCCCGTCGCACTTTCCAAGTGCTACTAAGTACTCACCTATGGATGTCGTTTTCAGCGACATACTCTTTATGCCGCAGGAAGCACAAGATATCAGCGGCAACGACTACCGCTATATAATTACCTTCATCGACGGTGCTACTCGATATGTCTGGAACAAGAATATCTCTCACAAGTCTGAAGCTCTCGACACCTTCAAACTATGGTTGAAAATCGCGGAGGGACAGAGCGGCATCAAGCTGAAAGAGATCCAGACAGACATTGCGGGCGAGTACACTAGCGAGCAGTTCGATGAATTCCTGGCACGGAAAGGGATACTCAAGCGCAAGACTGTGCCTAACACCCATCAGTAGAATGGAGTAGCTAATAGGACTTTGAAAGAGAAGATACATGTGATGCTGCAACAGTCTAGCTTGACGGCAGACTTGTGGCCGTTTACGATGACGCAAGCTATCCGCCTACACAACTGCTTGTCTTCGACAGCTCTTCCTCAGTCCAGCTCACCACACGTCATGTGGACAAAACAACCCACTGACACTCGACTTTTATGAGTTTGGGGCTGCATGGTCCAATACAGACCTCCGAGCGCAATTGTGGGTAGGTTTATTGAACGGGCTTGATGGGGAATACACCTCGATATACCTAAAGATTCCTACTCTTGGATAATTATGGATTACAAAACCTGAAAGGTTTTGTATGCCCGAGACTGCATCTTCTACGATAAACTTTTTCTCGATGACTTCGAACGCAACAAGGAACACGAACAGCGGGATCCTGATCACTTTAATGCCGAATGGAATTTTGCCACTCCTCAAGACGAAGCATTTGCAACCGAAGAATATTATCCGTCCGGCAGCACAACAACAGAACCTTCCACAGTTCCGCAGCAGTCTACGTCAGCAGCGAAACCACTGTTCGACTCTTATATTCCTTCGACTCGTGCCAACAACATCGAAACACCGCTCTTCATTCCCCTCTCAAACCCGTTGCATCCTGCTATGACACATGCTGCATATAATTATGGGGAGCACCTACGCCGACAGCAATATGACGCAGCATCACACGACGGTGCCCGCCATCTGCCATCTGGAATTGACGATGATGACGTCGTCGAAGTTTTCCAACCTCATCCTCGTGGTGACCAGTCGGCTCTTCAGATCCTCGGACTTGCTTTCGCAGTTCAGCAACCAATGACCGGGATCGAGTCGAAAACAGTCAAGAAGGCCCTCTCCGGCTCTAATGCTGACAAGTGGCAAGCAGCTATGGATGCAGAGGTAGCAGCTCTCGAGAAGCGGATAACGTGGAAACTCGTTCCACGCGAAGCAGAACGCGTCAAGAAAATTATTTCAGGCAAGTGGGTCTTTCGCACAAAGACAAATGAAGCAGGAGAACCAGCCAGATTCAAGGGGAGATGGGTCGTTCGAGGCTTCGACAAACCCACGGCATCGATTACGACCAGACTTTCACTCCGGTCAGCCGTCATACCTTCTTCTCGCCATTGCTGCCAGCCGCCACCTTCCACTTCGCCAACTTGATGTAAAAAATGTGTTTTTATATGCAGACGTCGATGCAGATATTTTCATCGAACTCCCTCACACTTACGACGACGGACTTCACATGTGCAAGTTACTTAAATCAGTCTACGACATAAAAAAGGCTCCTTGCATGTGGCAGCAGCATCGTCACAAAGTGTTGATTTCATTCGACTTCGTGCAGATGCCCCACGATCCTGGAATGTACAAACTCAAATTTTGGAGGAATTTCAGAGGATCCTAGTTGCCTACGTCGACGACTTACTGTACACCGGATCGTGCAACAATCTTTTGGAGCGCATATAGAAAAGAATCCAAACCATTCTTGAAGTGATTATTTCTCCAAACGTCACCCAATTTCTAGGGTTAAACGTCGACTGCGGCCCCGATGCCATCTACCTTTCTGCAAGCAAGTACGCAGAAACACTTGCGAAAAAGTTTGCCATCGGTCCTATCGGCCTCACCACTCCATTTCATCACATTCGGCCGATCACACACCTTATACTACCCCACTTACTGCCTCCGAGCATCAGCTTTACCAGCAGCAGCTCAGGTGTCTTCTATTTGCAGCCGTTACATGCTGCCCAGATCTTGCCTACATCACGAGTCAACTCGCACAGTATCTGCGCCGACCTGAAGGGGAGAATATGGCCGATCTTCGTCAAGCCCTCCAACCTGGTTGGAATCTTGTAAGGAATTTTATTCCTTACCGAGTTGTAATGCAATCGCGTACACCCGAACTCTCGGAAGACTAGGCTCGGTACGTTTCCGACGCGACCCTAAGGCTGGCTCGCACCGCTTCCGGCCCTTTCGACCGCGCCTGCACCCAACCTAGCCCTCCGAGCTCGTCGCCTAGCTAGAGTTCTCTCAATATAATGCTAGGCTCCCATTCTTGTACTCGTCCTTATTATTCCGTGCACTCTCAGTTATTATTCATAACATCTGGTATCAGAGCTATTTTCTTGGTGCACCCTGCTTTCCCAGGGTAGTTTATTTCCAAGGCATGGTTAACCCTGCGGGGCTGCAAAGCGGTTGTCAGCTATAGTTATTATCTCACACAACTACAATAGCGTTTGCGCCCCTGCAGTTTCTGACCACGGCCTTTCCCCTGCTCGAAAGGCGTAGCATTCGCATCATGACTCAGGCCCAACTAGACAAGGTCATGGCTCAGATGCAGGCAATGCAAGCCCAGATGGCGAGTTTGAACAGTGAAGTCGTGAGACTTTGGACGGAGGACACCGAGCTTCGTCAAACGCGTGGTGAAGCACATCAGGAGTCGCCTAGAGTCGCAAAGAATGATGTCAATCTAGAAGCCAACGACGAGGCGAGCGAAATCGTCCTTGACGAGCTTGCACGGGAGTTAGAGCAGGACGACGGGCGCATTGTGACTGTGACGAAGATTAAGGTCAAGCCGGCCATGCCGCCCCCGTTCAACCCTTTGGGCAAGGCGACGATGGCGCGAGGGTGGTTGTTCAGCATGGGCTATTCTTTACGGCTGCAAGTGTGCATACAGATGGCGCACACATTAATTATGCCGTATCGCTGCTCCGAGGACCGGCGTTGGATTGGTGGCGACGACAGTTGGCGATTGGGACTCCAGCAGGCGTGAAGCAGGCGAAGGATGGGGCTTCGAAAAAATTCAAACCAGCAGGCAGAAACGATATTCGTTACGACCACGATTCGCACGTGGAAACAGTGGGGCACTGCTATGCAAACTCGTTTTGAGCACTCATCAGCCTCAGACGACGCTCGCATGAAGCTGTGCAACTGTCGGCAGGTGACTATTGTTCAAGATTATACTACATCGTTCTCGGCACTTGCAGACCAAGTGGACAACCTCAGCAATGCAGAAAGGTGGGATAAATACATCAGTGGGCTGCATTTTGACATTCAGTACGAGTTGCAGCGGTCCCAGCCCAAGACGTTCGATGAGGTTGTCCAGTTGGCGTCAGTAGCGGATGCACTGCAGCAGTGGGTGAAGAAGAACAATAGGGATGTTGGTCGTTTTCGTGGACAGTCTCCCCGCCCCACGATCAATGGCGTGTTGGCACGGGCGGGATCCGGTGTCGACACGTGTCAACGCCCTCACCCTCTAGCGAGCGGTTAAACAGGGAGTGGATTTGTACTCTGTCCATCTGCATGAAGCGACGGCTGACGACACGCTGAAGGACATCAACAAACTTTGTGACAGTGTCCCTGCTAAGCTCGCCGAGCTGATTCGACAGCACGCTGATATTTTTCCGAATGACCTGCCAGCCAGATTGCCACCTGAGCGCCCCCAGTACCATAAAATCGACCTGGAACCTGGCGCGCAACCAACCATCAGGAAACAATGGCGACTGACTCAACCTGACCTCACGGAGTTGCGAAACCAGCTGGACTACCTACTGGAGAAGGGGTTCATTCGACCCAGCACGCCCCCGTTCGCAACGCCCATTCTATTCACACCCAAAAAAGACGGAGGGCTACGAATGTGCATTGATTACCATGCGCTGAATCGGCGAACCATCAAATCTCGCTACCCAATCCCACGCGCGGACAATCTCCTCGACCAACTTTGCGGGGCTCGCTTCTTCAGCAAGATTGACCTGCGAAGCGGTTACCATCAAATCCGATTTTTCGCTGACGACTGCCACAAGACAGCGTTCCGAACCCGCTACGGCAGCTACGAATACACGGTGATGCCTTTTGGCCTCACAAATGCGCCCTCTACATTCCAACTTACCATGAACAACGTGTTCTGTGATCTCCTCGACAAGTGTGTCATCGTATATTTGAATGACATACTGATCTTCAGCAAGACACAGGAACAACACATAAAGGACCTTGACCGGGTTTTTCAATAGCTGCAGCAGAATCGACTCATCACCAAGGGCTCTAAGTGCAAGTTCCTAAAATCCGAACCGGAATTTTTGGGACACATCGTCGGAGCAGACGGCATTAAAATCGACCCGAAGAAGATCACCACCATCCGCGACTGGAAGCTGCCCAAGAATTTACAGGAGTTGCAAAGTTAACTCGGGTTCATTAATTACGTCCGGTGATTTATCCCCAATATGGCAGGGACAACCAGACCTTTAACTGACCTGCTGTAGAAGGGAACTTCTTTTGAGTGGGGGGAGAGACAGCAAGCTGCTTTTGACGAACTCATAATTTTTTTTATGTCACCCCTGGTCCTCCGAATCGCTGATCCATCTCGACCGTTCGGATTCTTGACGGACGCTAGCGGTTTGGCCATCGGCACGGTACTGTTACAGAATTTCGGCGATGGCCTCCAACCAATCGCGTACGAGTCCAGGAAGTTGCAAGCAGCCGAGCGCAACTATCCCGTCCTCGACAAAGAAATGCTCGCCATCGTACACGCGTTCAAAGTGTGGTGTTGCTACTTGACGGGAGACGACGTGAGAGTACGGACAGACCACAAATCCCTACAGTACCTCCGCGCGCAGCCGAACCTCAATCCATGAAAGATTCGCTGGCTGGATTTCCTCAAGAGCAACTTCCACTACACCATTACGTACAAACGTTGGGCGAATAACATCGCAGGCAAACTGACATGACCGTCCACCCATCTCGCCTCCATCATCATTGCACAATCCAACCCACTGCTCACCAGACTATTTACCCACGGCTACAGCACCGACCCCTTTTTCACCCGCAACCTCCACCAACAAGCCACCACGGCCAAGGGAATTTATTTCCTAAGTCGGCACTGACCGTATCTGGGTTCCCGCTTACCAACTCCTTCACGAATTACTGATTCAGGAATTCCATGACTCTAACCTCTCCGGTCATTTCGGGGTTGAAAAAACCCAGAAATTACTTCACCGTTTTTATTATTGGCCAGATTCGGCGTCTGATGTGCAGAGATACGTTTCAATATGCCCGACCTGCCAGCGCATGAAGTCCTCTCGACAGCGGCCAGCTGGACTGCTGCAACCGCTCGAGCCACCCCAGAAGCTGTGGCAACACGTGACGATGGACTTCGTCACGCGACTTCCGGCCGGCGCAAGTGGCAACGACGCCGTCCTCATCGTCGTCGATCACTTGACAAACATGGAGCATTTCGCACCCTATCGTACGACCATCACAGCCAAAGAAATCGCCAAACTCTTCATCTCGACCGTTGTTCATCTGCACGGCCTACCATCGGCGATCAACAGCGACCGCGATACCAAGTTCACGTCCAAGTTTTGGTAAGAGACATGGGAACAGTACGACACCCGCCTGCAATTTTCGTCTGCCTACCACCTACAAACTGACGGGCAGACTGAGCAAACCAATCAGACCATGGAGCAGCTGATACGCACCAACTGCCCAGACCCCGCCCGATGGGAAGAATTCTTGCCCATGTTGGAATTTTCCTATAACAACGCCCCATCCGCAACGACTAATCGCTCACCATTTTTCCTCACCATTTTTCCTCACCATTTTTCCTCACCTACGGGATGGATCCCACCGTTCCCACGACGACCAATATTGACAACCGAGTGCTTCGGTCCCAGCAATTCGTTAACGACCTCCAGACCGCCCGGGAAAAAGCGATCGAATTTATTCGGAAGTCCAACACTATGGCTCGACGCTACACCGACCTTCATCGTCGAAATATTACAATGGCCGCTGGGCAACTAGTCCTTCTCGACACGAAGAACCTCCGCCTGCCCCTGCCATCAAAACTCCGCCCAAGATTCTGTGGGCCTCTCCGCATCCTCAAGATGGTGACACCTGTCACAACGAAATTACTACTACTTGACGAGTGGCGTATCCACGACGCCTTCCACGTCAGCCTCCTTCATCCCTACGTCGCCAACACGTCAGCAGTCGCACAATCGACGGACGTCCCCAGTGTCCGCCCGGTGGCCCAACCGACCCTTGAGCCGTTCCGGCTTTTGAGTTACCGCGTCCGCCTCGATACCACCGGCCGCCACATGGATTTTCTTGTCCGCTGGGCCGACCATACAAGCGAAGACGACACAGTCAAAGGAACTAGGTAGCTAGGGAAGCCATAGAATGGTGTGAGGTTTTAGGAAGGAGAAATATCGAGAGACAAGAGAATGAGATTAGAAGAGAGGATACAAGGAGGGAGTTGTACCCTCTACTGTAGGTTCCAGTAACACATACCAAGCCTTCAATTATATATAAGATATAATTTAACAGACACGTGGGTCCCTTCCGAATCGCTTCAGGAACACTCGGCACTCAAATCCTATTTGACCCGAAAAGGCGTTCCCGATATTGACCACTTTCCTTAGGAGGAGGGGTAGTGTAAGGAATTTTATTCCTTACCGGGTTGTACTGCAATCACGTACACCCGAACTCTCGGAATACCAGGCTTGGTCCGTTTCCGATGCGAACCCGAGGCTGGCTCGCGCTGCCTCTGTCCCTTTCAACCACGCCTGTACCCAACCTATCCCCCCGGGCTCATCGCCTAGCTAGAGTTCTCGCTATATAATGCTAGGCTCCCATTCGTGTACTCGTCATTATTATTCCACAAAATCTCAGTTATGATTCATAACAAATCTGCAAACGCGGCAACACTTACCCAGAGACATACACTCTGGACAGGAATGAAGGGGAGTGTTGAAGTATACTCGACAGAGTTTACTTATGCATTCCAGATATAACACCTAGACTGTACTAAGTAGCGAGATACCTCATATGGTAGGACGCGCGTGATGACGTCAGCAGTGGCGAGTCAACACGTGAACAGTGTGTTCGTGCATATAGTCACCCGAAGAGTCACGCCACTCTCAGTCACACGAACTGTCACTACCGGTACTCATGTCACGCGAATAGTTGCGTTACACTACGATCAGGTACACTCTAAATAGGTAATTCCTAGACTATAAATATTCCTGTATTAATAATTATTATCCTTGTCATTTCGGACATTTCCAATACAAGGTGTAAATTATTTCGCTGACTTTTACTTGTGGTTCCACCAACTCTAGATCCTGGCCACCCTAAACAAGTGGAACACATTCAGCTCCAACGAATGGAGAGGAAAGAGATAGAGGTTTATGCATTTTTTTGTCCTTAGTCTATATAATTGGGATGCATTCTAATGAATTAAAGAAATGTTTTAAATTTCTACATTATTGCACCCTATATATCGAAGTCCATTACAGGTCATATTCTAAAAACTCAAACTCTGCTAAGCATCTTTTAGTGTAAGAGAATAATTGGCCCATGGTTTGCCCTAGGTTTGAGAATAATTCGCCGCTGGTAGTCGATTATTGCTGTTGCACGAATCGCATATGGACAGTACAGATGAACTGATGTGGACACACGCATTGTACCACAAGTACCAAGCGCGAAGGGCATTGGTTTTCCTACTGCGAAGGAAACAGGTCGGACCTAGTGGACTCCCCTCACATTTGGGAGTACACGGGCAGGAAAGAATAGTCCAATTGAACTACAACTCAAGAGGCTCTTCTTTTTTGCACCCAAAGACTCCGATCTATAATTTCCCGCAAAGTAAAGGCCGTCTGTGTGAAAAAGACGCCAAAGAAAACCATGATACCAACAAACCATGAAATAATGGTTTATTCCCAAATCGGCAATATAGGTTTTATAACCAAGAAAACTGACTGCTTGGTGGTATCTGATTATTTTAGCTTTGTGATTTCAACTGGGTAAACGAGGAAATAAATACCCTGACCTCTAGAATGCTGTATCCTTTGTCATCAGTCGTCACAATGCAAATGGCAAGCCTTCGCCGTCCAAACGAACCTGCCATTCCTTACTGCTGCCGCCATCGTCCCTACCCATGCCTCCAGCACCACAGCCCCACCACAAACAGCCAGCCAAGCGAGGTCCTTGCATGACATCGTCCCCCCGTGGTCACTCCCCACAAAGGATGACTGAACTCGAAGAACATCCGCGACGGCAAAACCGCTGTTTGGCGGGTATGGGGAAAATAACGGCCTTTCAAAGCCCTGCCCCTAGCAGGAGGTGTCTTTCCGTAGCTACTCCACCCGATGGACGTCACTCCCGTGCCTTTCTGAAGCACTATCCTCATCCCGATCCCCGCCTAGATCCGAGCCCGGCGTTTCCTGGCCATTTGATTTCTCTCTGGTGGCCATTCCCCATACGCTGACGGAATCCGACGATTTTCGGCGGGCGCTCCCCGCACTCCAAGCTCGACATCGTCGGTTGTGGGTTGAACCTGTTATAGGACTATCGAGAATCGGACCGCACAGCAAATGCATGTAGTACTACTCGTAGTCGCCCGTTCATGAAGCACCGTGATCATGGGTGCGTACCGCTTTTCTCGCTACGACGCCCAAGATAACGACGGAGGACGGCCCGCAGCAGCAGCAGCAGCCGCCATCCGCAAGCCGCGTCCAGCAACCGCCGCCGCCTGTCGCGGCGACGACGCAGAATCTCGAGAGACAGTCCTGGTAAGCCATGAATTCGGCGCAAACGTGGCTGGATCTGGACCGAGGATGTAAATACGTAGCGCGCTCCGTGAAGGATTCTGGAGCTAGGAAGTTGTCGCACGACTCGACTCCAGCCGCCTCTAGTAGCCAGTCCATGGAGGAGCATGTCGTGCACTGGCGAACTGTTAGGATGCCGGCAGTAGTGGTAACGCTGAGCGGGTCTTTTGCGACCAAGAATGTTACGGTTACCCTATTCATAGTCAGGTTGCCGCAGCGGATTAAAGCGACGGTAACTTAAAGCCAGGGACCCAAGTTTATCAACAGTAAAACAGTTGGTTGGGACTAAAACTACTGATTGGCCGGCGAGCTGTAGGCACCAGTGAAATCGCCTGAGAGTGTTGCAATTCACGCACCCTCACGACACAAAACCTGTTTTTTTTTCAACCAACTGTAAAACGCTTGCCCCAGGTTCTAGAAACTTGGGTCCCAGGACGGGCTCCTGGTATCCGCAGAGAGTGTTGGAAGGGGACACTGGGATGGCCCGAAGGGGCTCTCTGAAAGGGCTACAGGTCCCGTCTTGGGGAGTGTAGGTGTGCCTACCGGTCACCACACAGACACGTCACACGCCCTTTTTTTCTTAGCTGGTTAGCGAACTGGAGCTATCTCTGCAACGAATCACGGGATTTGTACGGCTTTGGGCGGGCTTGCGCACGCATTCGTGCTTACTGTATGATAAATACAGTGCCGTGCTCGTACAGAAGATAATGCTCGAGATGCGTTCTTGGTCGCGGGTTCGTGCATGTGCTACCTTCACCTGCTTTGGGGGGCTGTGGCAATAGTGAAAGAAACCCGTCTCTCAAGTGTTTCGTGGATCTCTATCCATCCATTGAGTTCCGTACTCTTTCTCCTCCCCTGGATGCCCTTCCCGACCCCCACTCCCCCCGAACCCCCCCCCATCTTTTCCCCTTTCCCCCTTCCCCCTTCCTCCCCGCCCCCTCTTTCCCCCACTCTCCTCTTTCTTCCCCCCCCCCGTCTTCCTGTATTTCCCAGATTCCGGTCGCCTCTTGTTCGTCGTGCCATGGGTGGTGGCCTTCCGAGCGCAGCACGCCACGCGTGCCTCGGGCTCCTCCTGTGACGCTTGATGCGTCTCAAGAGCCTGCGCGTCGTCACGGCAGCACCACCCCGCCCTGTGGAGGAAGGACACGCCGTCTAGCTTTGCCCGTGGTTGCTGTGCTGCCGCTGCTGCCGCTGCTGCTGGTGCTGCAGCTACACTGTATGCGCTGGCGGTGCGCCGTGGCGCAATCCACACTGAACGACGAGGACTGTAAGTGTGCAGTACGTTGCTACTACAGCTAGTATGCTGCCCACGCTCGGCCGTAATGTAGATGCTTACTACTTGCTTCTGCTTCGCATTGTTTGGCCTGTTCCTCAACCCCCCACCTCGCCCATCCAACCCAATCCATGCGCGCGTGGCGCACTGCTGCTCTCCCGCTCTCCTGCACTCCCGCTCTCCTGCACTCCCGTTCTCCCGCTCTCCCGCTCTCCCGTTCTCCCGCTCTCCCGCTCTCCCACTCTCCCGCTCCCCGCTCCCCGCTCCCCGCTCCCCGCTCCCCGCTCCCCGCTCTCCCGCTCTCCTTCTCTCCTGCTCTCCTGCTCTCCGGCTCTCCCGCTCCGCCCGCCAGGGCCGGCGATGAAGGAGGTGAAGGAGACGCTGTCGTTCTCAGGGCGGGACACGTGGGTGCAGAACGCCAGGTGCTTGGACATGACCGGCGTCACGTGCGACGCCAGTGGCTATGTCACCCGCCTGTGAGTGCTGGTGGGGTGGTAGGGGGGGTGTGGGGATGTGGGGGTGTGTGGGTGTGTGGGCGTGGCGTGGGATGGGTGGTGGGTGGGTGGTGTGATGGGTGGTGTGATGGGTGGTGTGATGGGTGGTGGGTGGGTGGTGTGATGGGTGGTGTGATGGGTGGTGTGGTGGGTGGTGTGATGGGTGGTGTGGATGATAGGAACGGGAGGGGACATGCGTGCAGATGGCATGGCATGGATACATAGGATTGAGATTGCAGCGAGTGAGCCGCATGGTGCACAAGGATTATGTCATTGGCACCGCGTGTCTGTTGTTAGTTTGCTCCTAATCCATGCCTGCCTTCCCCCTCCCTCCCGCGCGTCCCTTTGTACCCCCAGGAAAGTGCCAGACTTCTCTGGCTCTCTCCCTGCAGCCATTGGGGACCTCATTCATCTAGAATACCTGTCAGTGCATGCATGCTGCTGGGATGTGGGTGGGAGGGCGTGTGCTGTGCCGTTAGCCATGTGCCTTGCCATGTTTAATGTGCTGTGTCATGTCGTGTCGTCATCTGCAGCACGTGCCATGGGGCGAGCCATGTCTCTGTCAGCTTTCCACCGCAGCGCTGTTTCTCTCAGGGGGTTACTTACTTAAGTGCATGGGGCATGTGGCTGCGTGCGTGCGTGCATGTGTGCGTGCCCGTGTCTCTGTCCCTTACATTGGCTTGGGCTCATCTCATCTGCGGTGCCTTGGGCCCCTGCCTCCACAGTGTAGTTTTGAGGCGCCTCAAAACTCATCTGCGGTGCCTTGGGCCCCTGCCTCCACAGTGTAGTTTTGAGGCGCCTCAAAACTCACCTGTGGTGCCTTGGGCCCCTGCCTCCACAGTGTCTTGGGCAGTTCTGTCCGACCATGCACTCACAACGTCAGATGTCTTCCTGCCATCACCCGCCCATTGCACATCCCATCAGGTTCTGTGTGTCAGACAGCCTCACAGGGTCCCTCCCAGACGCCATCTCCAAGCTTGTCAACCTGCAAACGCTGTGAGTGGGCGAGGGGGGGGGGATGCAAGAAAGAAGAGGGTTAGGGGCTGAAGGAAGGAGAGGGTAAGGTGGTGAGTGGAAGGGCTGTAGGGGAAGCTTAGGGGGAGGGGGAGGGGGAGGGGGAGGGGGAGGGGGAGGGGGAGGCTTAGGGGGAGCGGGTGGAAGAGGAGGAGGAGGAAGAACCCACATTACCTTTCACTTATCCCCTGGAGCCGTGGGAAGCACCGGCCTTCAGCGTAAGCGGAAGCATAGGCCAACCAACCGAGGTCAACCTGCCACAACCTAGGCTGCAATCGATTGTTTGTTCGCCACCACTACGCGGCACCCTGAGGAGGTTGTGGATGCTGAGAAGCAGGGTGAAGTCTTGGTGCTAGCGAGAATGCCGACACAAGAACTCTGGTGCAGCAAGCAGGGGGGGCGTCCCATAGCCCTCAAAATAGGTGCCTTTTGAGTCGACTGAAAATCTGTGACATTGGCTTCAAAATGGGCTCAGGCTGCTGTTGCTGCTGCCGCTGCTGCTGCTGCTGCTGGCGGTGATGTGCTGGCTCTCCTGCTTACCACCTTCTCTCCATCTCCCCCCCCACCCCTTTCGTGTGTGTGCATGCATGGCAGAGTGCTGCCATCAACGGGCATATCAGGGAACATACCCAAAGGCATTGGCAGCTTGGTCAGCCTCGTGTACCTGTGAGTATCAATCACCGTACCGTGCTCCCCACTTGAGATGCCTCTCCATGCAATGCAGCATGCTCTTAACTGCTCCTTCGCCTCGCCACAGGCAACGTCAAATCTGGCATGTCTTGAATTGAGATGCATCGGTTGCCAGCTCTCTTACCACGCTCTCTCTTGAGACGCGTCTTGAAAAGAGGGTTGAAAGACACCCTCTGACGACACCGGCCTCTCTCCGCATATCCGTGCTGACACCTTTACAAGTGCGCACATGCTCCATGCCACATGCCACATGCCATGCCACATGCCACATGCCACATGCCATGCCACATGCCACATGCCATGCTACATGCCACATGCCATGCCACATGCTTCAGGCCACATGCCACATCCGTGCCACATGACATGCTGCATTTTGAGGCGCCTCACAACCATGAGTGCCCACCCGCATGTCAGCCTGCCACACTGCCACCGCATACACCTCATCGACCCTTTGTTCTTCCTCCCCACCAGGGCTTCAGATCACCAGTTTGGCTTGAATTGAAGCACACCCACTTGAGAGTTGATTTTTCCAAGCCAAATCTTGCACATGACTCACACTATTCATATGATTATTCACACTTACCTCTTTTATTCACATTTCTTCTCTCTACAGCGGGCCCTTGACCCCTTGCTGTTGTATTCGTTTCTGCCGCTCTCTCCCCCCTCCTCTCGTCCCTCTTACCCCCCCTCCCCCCTCCCCCCTGCCGTCTTCCCCCCAGCAACCTCTACATCTGCCCCTCTCTCCTCCCGCCTCTCGTCCCTCCGCCCCCTCCCCCCCCCCAGCAACCTGTACGGCACGGCCATTGATGGCTCCATCCCTTCCTCAATCGGTCGGCTCTATGGCCTCCAGACACTGTACGCACGAAAGAGAGGCTGGGTTAGAAAGGGGACGAGTGGGGAGGGAGGAGAGAGGGGTTGAGCTGGCTTTTGAGAACGAGCATCAATGGGTCTGTCCCTTCCTCCATCGGTGGGCTCAACGGCCTCCAGACACTGTATGCATTTAAGAGATGTTGTGGGAGGAAAGGGGGCGAGTGGGGAGGGAGGGGGATGAGCGGGGAGGGAGGAGGAGGGTACGGTTGGGAGAAGGAGTGGTGATTGCTGGGGAAAGAGGCCCTTTTGATGGTTGATGGTGGTAGGCATGGCTGGGCGGAGGCTGTGTGTTTGTGTTGATGGTGTGTGCTGTGTGTCTACTGGCTCTGCTGTGTGTTCCTCCTGATTCTTTCTTTCGTTCGCACTCTCTTCCAGAGCTCCCTTTGCTTGGCTACACTAAACCCGCCAAGGACGGTGCCGTGCCATTGGCTGCTTGGTTGGTGGAGACACCTGCTCTACGCTGTGCTGCACTGTGCACTTCTCTTGCTTTTAAGTCGACTTGAACACGCCGCTGTGCTGTCCCTTCTCATGTCCTCCGTTCTCCCTCTCTAGTCCGCTCCTCTCTTACTGTCCCCTCCCCCCTCCCCCCTGCCCGCCAACCCCTCCCCCGCTTTCCCCCTCTCACCCATAGCAATCTGGCGTACACAGGCCTCTCAGGGAGCCTGCCTGAGAAGTTTGGCGGGCTGTCTGACCTCGCAACGCTGTAAGCTGCTGCTGCTGCTGCACTGCACATACACACACGCACGCACTCACTCGCGCACACACACAGACGCGCAGACGCGCGTGCCCCCACACACACATGTGAGGACCCCAAAAATAGACTCCTCATGCACTGCACATACACACACGCACGCACTCCTGCGCACACACACTCAGACACGCGCGTGCGTGCCCCCCCACACACACACATGCACGCGCGCGGCCCCCCCCCCCCAACACACACACACATACAGTCCTTCACCCATGTACAATGGTGTTATAGACAGAGGACGTGTATATACAGCGACCGAACACGGCAGTGATGCGAGCCCCACACTTCTAGAGCACTTTAACCTGCACGCTTTGACTTGCTTTATCATTCCTGCTATCCACATGTCATTTGTGCTTCGTTTACAGTTTGCCTCCTTGTATCGTGTATCTCTGATCTCCCCCCTTGTGTTCTCTGCCCCCCAGGTCTCTGTCGGCCACTGGCATCTCTGGCTCGCTCCCCGCATCCATCAGCAAACTAGTTAGCCTCACACTTCTGTGAGCAACGCACACAGGGGCGCACGCACACACACGCACACGCACACACATGCGCCTGCACGCACGCGCGCACGCAGGTACCCACACACACGCGCGCACGCACACACACGCACGGGCTTTGGAAAGGGACAGCGCAACAGAGAGAGTTAGAAAATCGTACATCCACAACAGCAGGACCATTCACAACAGCAGGACCATCCACAACAGCAGGACCATCCACAACAAAGCCCTCCATTTTCCTCCCATCAGCACCCCTGGTCCCCCTCCCATCAGCACCCCCTCCCATCAGCTCAACAAAGCCCTCCATCTTCATTGCCTCCCTTCACTTTCTCCTAAACCATGCCCTTTCTGCATCCTCTCCCATATTCTCCTTGCCATGTGCCCCCCCCCAACACCCCCACAACCCCCCCCCACACCCCCCCACGCCCCCACCTCTATCTTGACGTATTCTCCCCCACTCCACCCACCTTCCGCCCCCCCCCTTCCCACTACTGATTCCTATACTTTCCTTTTCCTCCCTGCCTTCCCCTCCTCCCCAACTCTCCCCCCACTCGCAGCGAGTGCCAGAAGTGTGCGCTGTCAGGGTCCCTGCCTGCTGCCATGGGCTCCCTGGGGAACCTGCAGTACCTGTGAGTACCACCAGCGAGCGTTATGAGTCTGGTTTTCAGTCGACTCAAAAACAGATCCCTGCCTGCTGCCGTGGGCTTGCTGGGGAACCCGCATGCAGTACCTGTGAGTGTAACCCGCGAGTGGCAGCAGCAGCAGACAGAAGGCACCCCACTCCTCCCATAGGAATGCCCTCTCTTCTTGGTTTGGATTCACTCCTCGACAGCACACAGTGTGGGTCTGGTCTGGTCTGGGTTGTCTGAGGAATAGGCTGACCAGCAGCCCAGCTTTTGGGTCGACTCAAAACCTGACAGCTCAGTGTGGGTCGTTTTTGTGTCGACTGAAAAATCTCCCTGACAGCTCAGTGTGGGTCTGACCGTCTGGGTCGTCTGATGAATAGGCAGACCAGCAGACCTGCCTGCCTGCCTACCTGCCTGCCTGCCTGCCTGCCTGCCTGCCTGCCTGCCTGCCTGCCTGCCTGCCACCCCCAACACAGCGCACTCTCGCGTGCCTGCTGTTCTTCCCTTCCCCATCAGCCGTTGCACAGCCTTTAGGTCCTTGATTCTCTGAACAGGCTTGCAACCCCGTGGAACATAAGTAAGGGGCATGGGGAGAGAGGAACATGGGGAGAGAGGAACAGGAGTCAGGTTGGGGCTCACCTGCATGCGCCTGATTTTTGCCGCATAGATTGACCCGCTCCACCAACCCCTCCTCACCCTTCCTCCCCCCTCCTCCCCCCTCCTCCCCCCTCCTCCTCCCTCCTCCCTCCTCCCCCCTCCTCCCCGCTCCCCCCTCTCCCCCCTGTGGTGCGAGCCAGCAATCTGAACATGAATTACCTCAGTGGACCGCTGCCCACCGCGATGAGCGGAATGACGCTCCTGCAAACACTGTGAGACGCACGCATGCCTGCACGCATGTCGACGCACACATGTAAACACACACACGCGTGTAAGAACACACACACACACACACACACAAACACACACACACACACACACACACACACACACACACACACACACACACACACACACACATGCATGCATGCATGCACCGCACGCAAACGTGCCCACCCACGTGCGCCCACAGACCCATGCGTACATTCGTGGCTTTGGCTTCCACCGTCTCTCTCCTCCCTTGTCCCTTGTCTCTCTTTCCACCCGCACGCTCGTTTTATCCCCTTGGTTCCCCCCCACGCTCTCTTCTCACACTTCTCCTTCCCTCCCTGCACCCGCATCTGTTGCCAGCCATTCTCCCTCCCTCTCGTCCCTCCCCTACTCTCCCAGCTACTCATGAAAGGCGTTCCCCCTCCCCTCACTTCCCGGCTAGAGTGGAGTCATTTTTGAGAATCCAAAAAAAAAAAAAAAAAAAAAATCTCCCTCTCGTCCCTCCCCTACTATGCCAGCTACTCATGAAAGCCGTTCCCCCTCCCCTCACTTCCCCTCTTAACCCCCAACACCCCGTCCCCCGTCCCCCGTCCCCTCCCCTTCCCTCCCCGCGCCACAGCAAGCTATCCAATAATGCCATCAACGGGTCTCTGCCTGACACCATTGGCAGGCTCACTGCTCTCACGTGGGCGTGAGTCAGAGGGAAAGGGGCGAGGGGGTGGAGGGAGGGAGGGAAGAAGTGGGTGGAGAAGGGGAGGGGGAAGGTAGAAGGGAGGGCGGAATGGAGGGAGGGAGAGGTAGGGGAGGGAGAGCGAGGAGAAGAGGAAGAGAGTACTGGGTTGGAGAGAGGAGATGTGCATGCATGCATGTGTGTGTGGGAGAAGGGGGGAGGGGGTGTTTGCGTGCATGCGTGTGGATGATGTGTGTTTGCGCATTCGTATTCATGCGTGCATTTTCGCCACATGCCGATGCCATTGCGCCTGTGCCATCATGCCCATGCCATCTGCCCATGCCATTTCAATTCACCCCATCAGTGAGCTATCGAACAACGAGCTGAGTGGACCCCTACCTGACAGCATCGGTGGACTCTCCAATGTGCGCCAGCTGTGAGACACCACACCCATGCCATCCCACCCAGGCAGCACCCTCCAAACTCTCCGTTCCGTACAATTCAAGCTCACATTTTCCATCTCGTGTGCTGTGCTGCTTGCCGCATCGATCCCCTCCACCTCACGCCAAACCATGCCTTCCTTCCCACTTCACTGTCGCTGCCTCTTCTCCTCTCTCCCCTGCTCGCCCTTCTCTTCTTTCCCCCCTCCCCTGCCCCCCCTCCACCACCCACCCCCCTCTCTTCTTGCAGCGCCATGGATCACAATCTGCTGTCGGGCTCCTTGCCCCCCACCATCAGCGACCTCGTCCATCTCAGGGAACTGTCAGTGTCTCCCCGCCTCCCCCTCTCCCCATCTCTCCCCGCCTCTCCCCGTCTCTCCCCACCTCTCCCCATCTCTCCCCATCTCTCCCCGCCTCTCCCCATCGCTCCCCGCTTCTCCCTGTCTCTCCCCGCCTCACCCTCTCCCCGCCTCCCCCTCTCCCCCTCTCCCCCTCTCCCCCTCTCCACCCCTGCGAAGTTGCCAGCCACGGCCTGCCATGCATACCGTGTCGTGCGTGTGCCAGGCCAGCCACGCCCTCTCATGGCAGTGTGTGCACCACGCCCCACCCGTGACCTACCTGTGCTATGTGATGCTGTATGCTCTGCTCCATGTCATGCCATGCTGCTCCTCGCCATGCCGCTCCTCGCCATGCCACTCCTCGCCATGCCGCTCCTTGCCATGCTGGCTCATGCACCCAATTTCTCCAACGGCTGCCGCTCTGCCACCTTCCTGCCTCCCCCCCAAGGCCACATCGCCTACACTCTTCATCAATGCATGCATGCATGCCACCTGTCTTTCAACTTCCTATACATGCCAGTTCCATAGCCCACACCCCACTGGTCTGATGTACCACTCGTCTGATGTACACTGTTTGTTTATGCGCCATCCTGCCACCTCTCTCCCCAAGTCGCAGCTATCTGAGCTTCAACGAGTTCTTTGCCTCGCTGCCTGCGGAAATCAGTGGCCTCTCCCAGCTGCAAATGCTGTGAGCACATATGTGGCATGGTGTGGCGGCACATGTGTGGCATGTTGTGGCGGGACATGTGTGGCATGGTGTGGCGGGACATGTGTGGCATGGTGTGGCGGCACATGTGTGGCATGGTGTGGCGGGACATGTGTGGCATGGTGTGGCGGCACATGTGTGGCATGGTGTGGCGGCACATGTGTGGCATGGTGTGGCGGCACATGTGTGGCATGGTGTGGCGGCACTTGTGTGGCATGGTGTGGGGTCGCATATGTGGCATGGTGTGGCGGCACATGTGCGGCATGGTGTGGCGCACATATGTGGCATGGTGTGGCGCACATATGTGGCATGGTGTGGCGCACATATGTGGCATGGTGTGGCGGCACATGTGTGGCATGGTGTGAGGGCACGTGTGGCATGGTGTGAGGGCGCATGTGGCATGGTGTGAGGGCGCATGTGGCATGGTGTGAGGGCGCATGTGGCATGGTGTGTGGGCGCATGTGGCATGGTGTGTGGGCACGTGTGGTATGGTGTGGGGGCACGTGTGGCATGGTGTGTGGGCGCATGTGGCATGGTGTGTGGGCGCATGTGGTATGGTGTGCGGGCGCATGTGGCATGGTGTGCGGACGCATGTGGCATGGTGTGAGGGCACGTGTGGTATGGTGTGAGGGCACGTGTGGCATGGTGTGTGGGCACGTGTGGCATGGTGTGCGGGCGCATGTGGCATGGTGTGAGGGCACATGTGGCATGGTGTGAGGGCACATGCGGCATGGTGTGAGGGCGCATGCGGCATGATGTGAGGGCGCATGCGGCATGAGGTGTGCGGACGTTGCATAGCTTTGGGTGTGAGGTGGGTAGCGCATGCATGTGCTGTAGATTCTTCAGCTGGCATGCTGCAATCCCAATCTAAGGCTAAACTGAACCCCGTTCGTGTATGCATGTTACATCCTCTCCTCAGGTGCAAGTGTCACGTCACAAGCAGGAAGTCCTGCCGTGTGATTCGTTCATGGGTGTGGTCATTTGCACCATGCACCATGCACCATACACCATGCACCATGCACCATGCACCATGCACCATACACCATGCACCATGCACCATGCACCATGCACCATACACCATGCACCATGCACCATGCACCATGCACCATGCACCATGCACCATACACCATACACCATGCACCATGCACCATACACCATGCACCATGCACCATACACCATGCACCATGCACCATGCACCATGCACCATGCACCATGCACCATACACCATACACCATGCACCATGCACCGTGCACCATTCACTACCTCCACCTCCACCACCCCCACCATGGCAGCATCATGTCCAACTGTGAGCTGGACGGCTCCCTGCCATCACAGCTGGCTCTGCTTACCAGCCTCAACTACCTGTGCGTGCTGCCTCGCCCCCCTCACGTCCCTCACCCCCCTCACCCCCCTCGCCCGCCTCACTTCCCTCATCCCCCTAAGCTGGACCTCTGTGTACCGTGCTGTGCTGTCATGCCATGCTGCCAAGCCATGCCGCCATGTCATGCTGCCAAGCCATGCTGCCATGCCATGCTGCCAAGCCATGCTGCCATGCTGTGCACATATCCCCCCATCAACATCCACCTGCTCATGCACACTCTACCATATCCCTTTGGACAATCATGCTGCACTGAGCCTCCTCTTCTCCCTGTGTGCCCCCTTCTTCGCTATACATCCCCTCACCTCGTCGCTTCCCTCCCCTCATCTCGACTCTGACCTCATTTCCACCACAATCAGGTCGGCCGCAGCGGCCGGTGTACCTAACCCACTCGAGCGTTCTGCCCCCAAATCTTCTGCGCCTGTCCCTCTCACCTCACCCTATCGCTGCTTCCCCTGAGCCCCTCTGCCCCCCCCCTCTCTGCGCGCCCCTGCGTGCCTGCAGGAATCTGAGCTTCAACTCCCTCTCCGGCTCGCTGCCCTCCCTGCTCACCAAGCTCACCTGCCTTGATTTTTGAGTCGACTCAAAAGTCGACTCAACATCTCCCCTCTGCGCCCCTCTGCCTCCCCCTCTGAGCCCCTCTGCTCCCCCCCTTCTGCACGCCCCTGCGTGCCTGCAGGGATCTGAGCTTCAACTCCCTCTCCGGCTCGCTGCCCTCGCTGCTCGCCAAGCTCACCGACCTGGCCAACCTGTGAGCTTTCTTACACCCTACCTCTTCTCTGCTGCAGCCTTGCGGTTTTTGGCTGCTACAGTCTACAGCACGGCCTAGCACGAGTCTCCGTATCATGAATTATGAGCAGGTGTCTCCCAGGACCTCTTTCCCCTCCAACTTGCATCTCTTTCCCCTCCAACTTGCCTCTCTTTTCCCTCCACCTTGCATCTCTTTTCCCCCCAACTTGCACCTCGTTTCCCCCCAACTTGCACCACTTTTCCCTCCAACTTGTATTCCATTGTTCACTCTTCTCTCCTCTCTCCCCCTGCACCACCCGCAGTGACCTCTCCCACAACCAGCTGTCTAGGTCCCTTCCCAATGACCTTCTCCCCACCAACCTCCACCGCCTGTCAGTCTCTCACTCCCTCAGTGAGTCAGTTTGTCAATCTGCTTCAGAGTGCAGCGACTTCCTGGCTCGCGCTTTTGAGTCGGCCCAGCAGTGCACTTCCCCTCTCTTTCCCGCACCACCAACGCGCACCGAGCACTGAGTGCGCGCGCACTGCTGCTCCCATCCCTTCCATCACCCTCCGCCATCTTCCACGTTCCTTTCCCTCCCTACCCTTATCCTCCCCTCGTCCCACTCTGTGTTTCCCCTCTCTCCCTGCAGCGACCTGTGCTGCAATCAAATCTCTGGGCCCATCCCCGACACCATCGGGGGGCTGCTGCAGCTGGAGCACCTGTGAGTGGAGGGGGGTGGAGGGAGGGAGGAGAGGGGAGAGAAGGGGGGAGGGGAGGGAGAAGGGGGGGGAGAGGGGGGGAGGGGAGGGAGGGAGGGGGGAGAGGGAAGGGTGAAGGAGACGGGTGGGAGAAGAGTGAAACGAGGGAGTGGGCTTGTAGAGTCAGTGAATGGGCAGTCGCTGATGTCCTCTGTTCTCGTCATGCTTCATCGTCATAATGCTGGCAGTGCCCAAAGCTGGCAGGCCGTGCTGATCTTCGTCTTGTGTACGGTTTTTGTATGTCTGCTGCTGCCTGCCCTTGTTCCATCTCCTCTCCTCACTGCCTCTCTCGTTTCTGCAAAACCGCTCTCTTGACCCATCTGATCCCACGAGACAAGGCTGCTCCTCATTTCTCCAACCTGCCCTCCTCACCACTCCACACCACCACCATGCAGCGACCTCAGCTCGAACCGCTTCAGCGGCTCTCTACCCACTGAGATGACAGCGCTCATTCAACTCACTCTCCTGTATGCATGCCGTGCTTCTCTTCTTCCCCACCAGGCTCTTCTTCCCGCTCCTGTGCTTCTCTTCTTCCCCTTTCACTCCTCCTTTTCGCTCCGATACATCCGCACCGCATGCATGCCCGCTCTTGAGCCACTCGTGCGCGCGGCGCACACACCCTCTTGGCTTGTCCCCCCCTTCCCTCTTAAGCCACTCATGCGCGCAGCACGCACACACCCTCTCCTACCTTGCCTAGCTCAAGCCCTTCCGACCACTTCATTCCCCACCTCATCTCTCAACGACTCCCAAACCCAAACATCGCCAACATCCCCCACCTCTTGCCTTGTCCCCACCTTCCACCTCCCCTCACCCTCCCCCCACACCCCCCCAGCAACCTGCGCAGCAACCAGCTAACCGGCGCCGTGTTACAACCCATCCCCCCGGCCATGCAGCAGTACCAGCTGGACAACAACTACTTCTCCTCCGCCTTCCCTTCCCAGCCGCCCTGCCCCGACGGTGCCATTGTCACCACGCGCAGCAACTGCGCGGTGGGGAAGGATGGGAGTACCGCCGCGCCCTCCTTCTCGTGCCCGCCGGGGGGGGCGGACCCCCAGAGGAGGCCGGAGGTGTGCCGGGCGTTCTGTGGGCTGACGAACGAGAGCCTGCCGTGCGGCGGGCACGGCGTGTGCTTCTTTGACGGGCCGAGTAGTGTGCCCACGTGCGCCTGTGACGATGGGTTCACGAATGGAGGCGTGGCGGGGTCGTGCGTGCCCGATGATGGTAGGGCTTCCTGTGCTGTGCGGTGCTGGGCTGTGCTGCGCTGCGCTGTGCTGTGCTGTGGTGTGAGGCAACGTGAGTGCGGTGGTGGTTTGAATGGGATGGAACCTCTTTGCACGTTGCTCTCAACTCATTACATCTCAGTGATTTTCAGTTAGTCCACGCTTCTCAGTGTTGCTCGCACAGCGTACAACACCTCTGCTCCCCAGTCCTTACAATGGCTCTGCTCTGCGTCCGTGCTTGCCCTCCCTTACTTCCACCCTCCCATGCCCTGCCCTGCCCATCCCACGTTCCCTGTGTCCCAGGCTCTCTCCCCTCCATCAACACCACCTCAGACTCCTCCCCACCATCCTCCCTCACCCTTAAGGGTTCGGCCTCCCTGCTGCCCAACGCCTCCGTGCTCCTGTCTCCCGCGCAGCCCTCCAACTGGGGCTCCGCCTTCCTCTCTCGTCCCATCCGCCTCTTCTCCTTCGCCCTCCTCTCATCGTCCTCCTGTGGCCGTCCCCTCCCATTCTCCACCTCCTTCTCGTTTGCTATTGCTGCTGCCGCTCCCTCTCAAGGCCCTCCCTCTGCTTCTGCTTCTGCTGCTCTGGCTTTTATTGTCTCTGCAACCGGTGCTGTTGCTGGTGGCACGAGCAGCAGCAGCACCAGCGTGGCCTATTTGCCTGCATCAGAAAGGAGTGTGTCGGTTGTGTTCAGTGCCGCCACAAGTGCCATTCATCCCAATGGCACTGTCTCCATCCGAGTCAAGAGTACCAGCAGCGGGTTCACATCTGTAGCCACAGCCACCGCCCCCACCCCTCTCAACGACGGCATGCCACAGTACTCCTGGATCGACTACACCCCTTCCGCCACGGCCGCTGCCGCTGCTGCCTCCCTGCGTGTCTTCCTCTCGTCCAAGCCGTCCCCTCGGCCCCCCAAGCCCGTCCTCTCTGCCAAGATATCCCTATGCGGCCTCCTGATGCCCACAGAGATTGAATCCGCGTTCTTCCTGGGCTTCGCTGCTGCCTCTGACAACCCCCCTGTGCAACTCATGCTGCTGCAGTGGAGCATTGCTGCAGGTGATGTGCCTTGTTTTTGGGGGGGGGGAGGGGATGGGAGGGCAGGGAACGACGGGGCAAGGGGTGTGGGGGCGAGGGAAAGACGGTGAATGAGGGGAGAACAGCAGGGGACTGGGCTAGAGAGAGGAACAGATAGATGATAGGTAGGAGAGGGTGCTGGGCAAGGGGGAACAGCTGGAGATGGAGGAGATGGAGGTTGTTTGGGCAGCGGCGGGTGGGTGAGACCCGGGAAACTGTAGCCTGTTGTTTTCTGTGTCTTGATGGTGTTTCAAGTCTCCTTGTTTTCTCCATTCCCCCCATGTGATCTGTCTGTCCCTGCAGGCCTCCAGAGCGTGCCTTTTGACTCAGGTAACACAACGCTCCCCTCCTTCGTCCATCCCCCCTCGCATCCACACCCATTCTCATCCACTCTCCATCCGCTCTCCATCCCTTCTCATCCCTTCTCATCCCTTCTCATCCCTTCTCATCCCTTCTCGTCCGTTCTCTGTCGCATCCACCACTGTCAAGCCCTCCATCACTGCATCATTCCGTTATCTTCACCTAGACCCAACACATCCTCACTCTCCCCCGCTCCTCCCCCCCCCAACCTCGTGTGCACAACCTCTCAGCCTTCCCGCTGGGCTTCACTCTCTCCGACGACTCCCTCTCCCCCTCGGGAGCCAACCCTTATTTCCGCTACGCCAGCGCTGGCGTGCTGCCCGTGCATGCCAGCACAGGAGGAGGGGGAGGTGGCAGCAGCAGCAGCAGCAGCAGTGGCGGCGGCAACATAGGCACGACCAATGCACAAGAGGCAGAGGAGGAGGAGCCACAGGCGTGGCTGGTGTCCCCCGCATCTTCCTGGTTCCGGCCAGACCTGCGGTGGCCAGTGAAGCAGCAGCTTGCATCGTGCGGTGACTGCTGGGCGTACGCGGTGGTGGGGGCCATCGAAGCCGCCTACAGCATCCTGGCAAACCTGTCAGCGGCGCCGCTGCTGTCCGCTCCGCAGCTGCGTGCCTCAATGCGCGCCGACTGCCAGGGGGGGTCGCCCTCCCACGCCTTCAGCTTCCTCCTCACCAGTAGCCGAAGTGGGAAGGGCGTGGGGGGCCTGGTGGAGGAGAAGGGCGCAGGGAAGGGGACAAAAGCTGCTTTTGGGTCGACTCAAAAGCAGGGTGCGGGGAAGGGGAAGGGGAAGGGGGCAGAGGTGGGGAGGAGGCTGCAGGGAGTAGGAGGGAGGTGGGGAGGTGGGGCGAGGAGGCAGCTGGCGGGGGGAGCAGGCAGCGGCAGCAGCAGTGGGCTGTGCTCGCCTGTGTTTGCGGCTCTGAGGAAGCTGTTTGGTATCACGTGCAAGGGCGGTGTGCCTGTGAGTGCGCTTCATGCACCAGGCATGTGTGTAGGTTGAGGGAGGGGGACGGGAAGGGGAGGGGAAGGGGGTATGCTGATCCATGCTCTTATGCAGCAGCAGCGAAGTCCGATGAAAACACACACTCTCTTGAACGATCCTTGCTCACTCCCCCCACTCACCCCATTTACTCTTCCTCACGCCACATGGACACACACCACATGTTTCCCATGCCACGTGCTGCCATGCCATGCCATCCCTCTTGCCACGTGTCGCCATCTCTCTCCCGCGAGCTTCGCTGCAGATGGAGGCGAGGAAGAAGGCGTTTCACATCAGCGGCTTCGAGCGCACGTCCTTCTACGGCTGGTTTGGGCTTCTGCTCGCTGTGCAGCGACAGCCCGTGGTGGTGCACATTGAGGCATCGGCTGATTCCTTCAAGCAGTATGATGGGGTGAGTGGGTGGGTTGGTGGGTGGGTGGGTGGGGTTAGTGCATGGGACGTGTGTATGGGGTGAGACGGATGAGGGGCTTTGAGCATCATGAGGGATGATGATGATGTGTGAATATGGGTCCATCAAAGCTACACAGAAAAGCTCAGTTTTTTTAGATGAGAGGTCGGCTGTACCCCATTTCGCCCTTGCCGCTACCCAGCTATCCAAGTTCGCGCGGACCCCGCGTGCTTCACGTACAACCTGAATCACGTGGTGCCATACCCTCTCCTTCCTTTACCTCTCTCCATGTTTCGTATCCTCGCCTACCCCAGCTATCAAAGTACCAGGACCCAGCCTGTTTCACGTACAACCTGAATCACGTGGTGCTGCTGGTGGGGTACCGCCTGGTGGGGAGCGATGACACTGCTCCCCACATGGCTCCACCCTATTGGATCATCCGCAACTCGTGGGGCGCGGAGTGGGGCGATGGGGGCCACATGCGCATGGACATCCAGGGGGGCGACGGGGTGTGCGGCATCAACTCCCTGCCGGGCCTCTACCCCATCGTCAAATGTGTGTCTTTTCACAAATTAGGTTTGGATGGGGGGGTTATGCTTTTTTGTAGGATTCTCGAGCATCGGCTGTGAATTGTCAGATCCAGCAGTGATTCCAGTTTGAGGCGCCTCAAAACTAGACTCCTGTCAGAATCAACAGTGACTCTAGCGCCAGCCAGTTGTCCGCGCTTCAGTTAGGTGTGCAGTGCTGCTGTTTTCTCTTGGACGATTTTTGAGGCACCTCACGCTCCATGCTTCAGTCAGCCATGCCCTTCTCTCTTGAGGAGTAGCCACCTATCAAGCCCTCCAGCCCAGTCAAGTCCCGTCCCACCCACCTCCATTTCCCTTCCCTCCCCCCCCCACCGGCCCTTGTCACTTCCTGTAGCATCTCGTGACCCATGCAACAGGCAGGCGCGCAAGGGTCCCCTGGGCCCTGTGCTGAACCCATGTGGCAACTTCACGTGCCGGGTGGAGAGGGACTCCAACCGCTGCCACTGCAACGATCCCCGCTTCGTGGAGGCCACCAATGCTGACGGCTCGCGCACCTGCGCTTATGGTGAGGCCGAGGTTTAAGAAGCGAGGTTGAAGAAGTGATGTTGTTTCCGAGGTTCGTGTGCCGCGCACAGGGCAGCACTAACTGCTGCCACTGCAACGATCCCCGCCTTGTGGAGGCTGCCAATGCTGATGGCTCGCGCACCTGCGCTTATGGTGAGGCCGTGATCTAAGAAGTGCGGATGTGTTGTTTTAAAGAGGGTATGCGCTTAAATTGAGGACTGGATGTCCCTCTGAAGGTCGAGCCCTGGTGCAACCTTTACTTTGTTCGCCTTCTCACTGCTGCATGCTTGCTCACCCATTCCTCCATGCTGCTTCTGCTACCACTGCCGCCGCCGCCGCCGCTGCTGCTGCTGCAGTTGACGTGTGTCGGGCGTCGTACCGCAACCCGTGTGCGGTGGGCACGTGTGTGAATGACGGGGCGGGGACGTACTCGTGTGTGTGTCCTCCGGGCTTCAGGCAGGGCACCACTGTGGATGGCACCTTCTCCTGCGCTCCAGGTACCTTCTCTTGCGCTCCAGGTACCTTCTCCTGCGCTCCAGGTACCTTCTCTTGCTCCCCTCTGTCCTTCTCCTGCCTGTTTTCTCGCTCCTTCTCCACCCTGCCTCGTGTTCTCCCTCTCGCCCCTCATTGATTCTCTCCTTATCCTCCCAACTGGCCCTTTGTATTAGATGCCAATGGTACAGGCGAGGTAAGCTAGACATGCATACAGGAGGCTCCTCATCCTCCCTGCCTCATTCTCAATTGGTCTTTCGTATTAGATAGAAATAGGGTACAGGCATGGGAGAGGGGCAATTGGTCTTTTGTATTTTCTCCTCAACTCTGCAATCATCTCTCCTCTCCCCACTCTGTCCCCCCACTCTCTCCCCCCACTCTCTCCCCCACACTCGCTTCCCCTACCCATTCCCCCCAGGCGACGCTGACAGCAGCTACACGGTTCTCTCCCTCGGCCTCACATGTGCCGCCATCCACCCCGTCTATGGCCTCACTCTGCCGCAGTTCACCGCACAGAACCCGGTAACACCGCACTTGCTTGGCATTCTCCCGCTACGGGCTGGTCTCCACCACTGGCCCTTGACTGGGCATCGTGTTCCCACCTCATCTCATGCTCCCCTCGCACCCCCAAATTGAGTATGCTGTCGAGTCGACTCACAAGTGGTCTCCACTGGCCCATGACTGCGCATCGTGTTCCCACCTCATCTCATGCTCCCCTCGCACCCCCAGAGGCCTCTCTCTCTGTGCCCGTGTGAAGTGACGGCCTTCTGTGCTCCACACGTCCCCATGGCCTGTCTGATCAATTTGTGCGTTCTGTGCTCCTCCCCCCTCCTCTCCTCTCCTCCCCCCTTCTCTCCTCTCCTCCCCCCTCCTCTCCTCTCCTCCTCCCTCCTCTCCTCTCCTCCCCTCTCCACTCCTCTCTTCTTCTCTCCTCTCCTCTCCTCTCCTCTCCTCTCCTCCCATCTCTCCACTCAGCTCCCCTCCACTCTCCTCCCGGCTCCTCTCCACTCCCCTCCCCTCCCCTCTCCTCCCCTCTCCTCCCGTCTCCTCTCCGCTCCCCTCCCCTCCCCTCTCCTCCCGTCTCCTCTCCACTCCCCTCCCCTCCCTTCCCCTCTGCATGCCAGGATGTGAGCTGCAGTGCCCCACTGCCAGTGGGCACGCGCGTCAATGTCACTCCTCCCAACGGCCTCTCCCCGTGCTCCGTCTACTACACCACCGACCAGGTGAGCTGCACACCGACCAGGTCAGCCGCACACCAACCAGGTATGCCGCACCTTCTGATAGTGTCACACACGCAAAGACCAGGTACAACCCAGCCTCTGTTACTGTCACACTCTGCTACTGACTGCCACGGCCTTGTCAGTGCACGTGTTCCAGTGCCTATGCTTCGTGAAAGTTTTCCAGATGGTCTCAGCTGCATGCATGACTCTCAAAACGTAGGAGGCATGCATGCATGCATGCCAACACGTGTGCACAAATGCACACACACGGATGAACGTGCACTTTCATCCATGGACCTCAATCCGCCCTCCCTCACTCCCTACCTCCACCTATCCCAGGGTGACATGTGCCAATCCCTGGCAGCCTACTTCCAGCTGACTCATCAGTGCACTCCCAGCAGCACCCCGTGTGAGGCAGCCCTGCAGGCGCTAAACCCCGGGCTGGACTGTGACGGGGGGGAGGGGGGGGGGCAACTGCAGCCCAACCAGGTGGTGTGTGTGGAGCGCCGCAGAGGGGGGGTGGGAGAGGGCGCAGGGCAGGCCATCCCAGTGTGCTCACAGTACTACCTGGTGCAGAGCGGTGAGACGTGCGAGTCCATTCGCAACGTGCCCAACCCGCCTCTCTCCCCCGTTGACTTCTTCCGCCTCAACCCGGGCATTCGCTGCTCGCGTCTCGTGCCTAAGACCTCGGCGGACAGTTTTACCGGGTTTGAGGTGAGTGGCTAATGGCGTCTTTTGTGTCACACATGGGTGCATGCATGCATGTATGTATGTATCTAGGCACTGAAGTCTGAAGGCACACACGGGACTGCATGCAGGCAGGCACTGACATGTGCATGCACAGGGTTGTGTGTGCACAGGCATGTCAATCATCCGAATAACTACGTATGCATGCAAGTACCTGCACTCACCCTTTCCCCCAGCTGCTTGCATACACTCTTTCCCTTCTGTTAGCACTTTCACCAAACCAAAGAAAGTGAATTTTTTTCCACTAAGCTCCACTTTCGTTCTTACTCTTGTTTGTTGGGTTCTCTACCCCCTTACTCATCAGGCTTGCATACAAAGCGAAACAAGCTACACTGCTGGCTCCTGCCCATATTCCAACTTCTATTTGGTAACTAACAATGATCGGTGCAGCACTATTCAAATCAAGTATTTCCGTGGCATCAAGGGGTGCTACAAGAGAATCAACGGCTATGATTGCTTGGACAAGCTGAAGCAAGGGACTCGTATATGTTTGCCTAATAAGAAAAAGATGAAAAGTGGCAGATGTAGCGTCTAAATGAATATGTGTCTATTTATATGGCCGTGTGTGTCAACTTATACATATTATCTATGTAGAAGTTATAGGCTAGACTGAGGTATGCTTCTAGTGAGTACAACCAACTAGTATTTGTTCTAGGTTTCCACCTCTAGTAATCATTCGTTTCTACGTTAACATGGTATCACGCTTAGGTTAGGATCCCCCCGCCTACCGCTTCCGCCCGTCGCGCCTCCTAGGCCCCGTCGCGCCCCCTAGGCCCCGTCGCGCCCCCCCTGGGCCCCGTCGCGCTCGTTAGGCCCCGTCGCGCCCCCCCTGGGCCCCGTCGTGCCCACTGGGTCCCGTCGCGACCCCTAGGCCCTAACGCGCCCCCGCTGGGCCCCGTTGCGCCTCCTAGGCCCCGTCGCGCCCCCCCATGGGCCCCGTCGAGCCCGCTGAGCCCCGTCGTGCCTCCTAGGCATCGTCGCGCCTCCTAAGCCCCGTCGCGTCCCCCCCTCTGGGCCCCGTCGCGCCCGTTCGGCCCCGTCGCGCCCCTCCTAGGCCCCGTCGCGCCCGCTGGGCCCCTTCGCGCTTCCTAGGCCCCGTCGCGCCTGCTAGGCCCCGTCGCGCCCCCCCTGGGCCCCGTCGCGCCCGTTAGGCCCCGTCGCGGCCCCGCTGGGCCCCGTCGTGCCCGCTGGTCCCCGTCGCGACTCCTCGGCCCCGTCGCGCCCCCCCTGGGCCCCGTCGTGCCCGCTGGGCCCCGTCGCGCCCCTTAGGCCCCGTCGCGCCCGCTGGCCCCTGTCGCGCCTGCTGTTAGCGCTCGCCCGCCTGGCCTCCTCCTAGTGCCGCTCGGCCTCCTCCTAGTGCCGCCCGGCCTCCTCCTAGTGCCGCCCGGCCTCCTCCTAGTGCCGCCCGGCCCCTTCCTAGCGCCGCCCGGCCTCTCCTCAGCGCTGCCCGGCCCCTCCTCGTGCCCGACCGGCCCCAGCAGCACCAGCCTGGCCCCTCCCAGCACCAGCCCGGCCCCAGAGCACCTGCCCGCCTCCCCTGCTCGGCCTGCCGTGTCCTCTCGGGCCCTGTGTCTTCTGCTTGCCTGCGCTGGGACGCCTAGCTGCTGCCCTACTGGAGAGTGCTGCCGCCGTGTCCCCGCGCCGCTGTGCTCCTGTGCCGCTGAGGAGCTGTGCTGCTGTGCCGCTGTGTCGCTGAGGAGCTGTGCCGCTGACCCTGCACGATGGCTGACTTTGTGCTCCGCCTGGACGCTGAGGGCCACGCGGTTGACTTCGCCGCCTGGCTCTCCGATCTTCGCCGCCAGCTTACAGGTCAGCGCCAGGATGGCCACTCTCTGGTTGTCCATGCTGATGGCTTGCTCCCCCGTCCCCCTGCACCTACTCCCCTCCCTGCTGACCCCTCCTCTGATGACCGTGAGGCTTTCTCTACTGCTGCGCTAGCCTGTGCGGTCTGGGACTCACGCGATGCAGTAGCTCAGGTTGCTATTAGTCACGCCCTCCCTGTGTCTGAGCGCTCGCGTTTTGCTACTGTTGAAACGGCCAAAGCTTATTTAGAAGCCGTTATTGCTCGCTATTCCACCCCTGCCTCCGCTTCTGCTGGCCGCTTGCTCTTTCCGATGCTGTTCCCAGACCTGGCTGCCTTCCCTACTGTCGCAGATTTTGCCACTCATTTGCGTGCCCTAGAGACTCGCTATCGCACTGCCAGCACTGCTGCCCAGCTCACTGCGCTCCCCCCTCCTTTCTGCATGACGCTCTATTTTATCGCTATGCGCCTGCCAGACCGCCTCGCTAGTGCTCGCGACCACTTTCTTAGCCAGCACCCGGGTGACCTCACCCTGACCGCCTTTGTCGACACCCTCACTGAGATCGAGACTCGCCAGCGCACTATCGCTCAGTCGAGCGGTGCGCCGGCAGTCTCTATCTTTCACGGTTGTGCCCCATCCCCGTGCACGTTCACTGACGTTTCGGCTGCGGTCGCCACGGCGACCCCTCTTACCGAGACGGCTGCTGCTGTCCACCCGCAGCAGCGCTCGCGTCGCGGTGGCCGTGGCCGCCAGGGAGGTAGGGGTGGTGACGCAGGTGGTAGTGGTCGTGGTGGTGGTGACGGTAGTCCGCCTGAGGGGACTACCACCGGTGGGCAGGAGCAGCAGTCCCAGCAGCAGCAGGACCAGCCCCAGCCGCAGCCGCCGTCCCAGCAGCACCCGCCGCAGCCGTGGGCTCGTCTCCCGCCTGGTTGGCCCGGCACCTCCGGAGGCGGTGGCCGTGGTGGCGGCCCGCGCAGCTTGGCGTCTACCAGCGGCTCCAGTGCTGTGACCTGCCAGTACCAGCTTCAGACCGGGCCTCTCCGCGGCACTCTGTGCCGCCGCCCGCACCCGACCGCCCACTGTTTCCGCCGCCTCGACGATCTTTTTCGTCGTCGCTTTGGCCCGGCCCCGGACCTCCCTGACTGGCACAGCCTGCTCCGCCAGGGCGTGCCGATCTTTGAGTTAGACATGGATCAGATAGGTGCTGCTTTGCATGCTTTGTATGCTGACGCTTCTAGTGTTGATGGATCTTACTACCATGTGTACTCTAGTTTAGGTGTTTCACCCTTGTGTAGCTTAGCTTCCCCTGCTGCGACAGGCGTAGGACTGCCTAGGTTGCCTAGTCTAGTCGCTGCACCGGCTCCGTCCGCGGCCTCCGCCACTGCGTCGCTGTCCTTCACTCTCGACTCTGGTGCTTCTGCCTGCTTCTTCCGCGACCGTTCCACGCTCACGCCGCTTGCTGCACCTGCTGTTGTCTCTCTCGCTGACCCCTCTGCGGGTCCGGTCGTCGCGCGCAGTTCTACGTCCCTTCCCTGTCCGGCAGTTCCCTCGGGCTCCCTTACTGGCCTCCACGTTCCCTCGTTCTCCAGGAACCTGGTTGGTGTCGGCTGTCTCCAGGACCTCGGCGTCACCACCACGTTCCCCGGGCACGAGCGGTTCGCTGTCTGTTCTGAGGCTGTCTCAGGTTCCCCCCTTGCGACGTTCCCCCGGGACCCGGTGTCCGGTCTGTTTACCCTACACACCGCTTCCCCCCCGGTTGGTGCGTCCTCCCAGGTCGCTGCAGCTTGCTCGTGTCGGTCCCTCACTCACCCCTCCCTTCTCTGGCACCACCGCTTAGGTCACCCTGCTCTCCCGCGTCTGCGTCACATGTCCCAGCACGGTCTTGTCTTAGGTCTCCCCGCGTCGCTCCCTGCCCTTCCTCCCTCGACTGCGCCACCGTGCACGCCTTGCGTCGAGGGTCGGCTCCGCCGTGCTCCTCACTCCTCCTCGCTGCGTCCTGCTACTGCCCCCCTTCAGACCCTGCACTTGGACGTTTGGGGCCCTGCCCCCGTCCCCGGACCGCGCGGTGAGCGCTACTTCCTTGTGCTCGTTGACGACTACACGCGCTACACCACGGTGTTTCCCCTGGAGCGGAAGGCCGACGTGCCCGACGTTCTTCTCCCGTGGGTTGTAGCTGCGCGTCTCCACCGCGGTCTCCCCGTGTTGTGTCTCCACTCCGACCGTGGCGGCGAGTTCGCCTCTGGTCGGCTTGGACAGTTGTGTCGTGCGGAGGGCATCACCCAGTCGTACACGTTGCCGGACTCGCCACAGCAGAATGGGGTTGCTGAGCGCCGCATCGGCTTGGTCATGGAGGTCGCCCGTACCTCCATGATCCATGCCGATGCCCCCCATTTTCTGTGGCCGTTCGCTGTTCGCTACGCGGCTCACCAGCTTAACCTGTGGCCACGCTCCCAGCGGCCGCAGGTTTCGCCGACCCTCCTTTGGACCGGGTCCCCCGGTGACGCGTCTGCGTTCCACGTCTGGGGCTGCCTTGCTCACGTTCGTGCCTCTGGCACGGACAAGCTCACTGCCCGCACTGTCCCCTGTGTCTTCCTCGGTTTCCCCCTGGACTCGTCTGACTGGCTTTTCTACCACCCGCCGTCTCACCGCTTCCTCCACTCTCGTGACGTCACCTTTGACGAGTCCGTCTCCTTCTACCGCCGCTTCCCTCACCGAGGTCTCCCAGTTGCCCCCCCCCTTTTCCTTGCTCCCTCTCCCCCGGTAGCCCCTGCCCTCTCCCGCCTCGTCCTGCCCCGTCTGGTGTCTCCCACGTCACTCCCCTCCCGTCGGTTGTCCCCGTTGAGGAGTCTGCTGACTCTGGTGGTACCCCCGGTCCGTCCTTGCCGCGTCCCCCTTCCCCGGTGCCTCCGCCCCACTGTCGCAGTCGCCGACCCCGCTGCCGCCGCCGTCGCCGTCGCCGCCGCAGCCGTCGCCGCTGTCGCCGCCACTGCCGCCGTTGCTCTCGGCCCCTGGGGGTGCTGGTGTGGAGGAGGGTGTTCGTCCTGCGGCTTCTGGGGGTGCCGCTGGTGTTGGAGGGGGTTCTCGCTCTTGGGGTGTTGGTTCTGGGGGTGCTGCTGTTGAGTGTTCTGCCGACGGTCGTTCTGCCTCTGCTGGTCCAGAGTTCCGGCCCAGCCGTCGTCGCCGCCACAGCAGCCGTCGCCGCCGGTTTCCGCTCTCCGCCTGCTCGGCCTTCCCTCCCCGGACCGCGCGCCGGTGTCTCCCCCACCGCCTCCTGACCTCCCTGTCTACGGTCCTGTGTTCCCGCCGCCAGACTCGTCTCCGGCCCGTCTTCCTCCTCGTTCCCCTCCTGTGTCTCCTCCGCTGTCCCCTGACCCTACCCCTCCGTCTCACGTTTGGGCTCGCCGTCCCTCCCGTGCTCGTCCCGTCTCTCCTGTCCTGCCCACCCACCCTATGTTGCTCCGTTCCCACTCGTCTCGTCCTCCCCTCCTCCCGTCCCCTCCTCCCTCGTCCCTTGCTGTTGCACCTCCTCCGTTCTCTGACTACCTCCGTGCTGCTCGTCCCCTTGTCCCTCGGGTCCTTGCCTCTCTTGTTACCGACCCTGCTGTTCCTGTCTCGCGCCTTGACGCGCTTGTCGCTGCTGTCGCTGACTTCGCTTCTACCCGCCGCCTTGACTACGCTACCGCTCTGGTCTCTGACCCTGCCCGTCCTCTGTCCGTCGGGGGTGCTCCTGCCCTTGGCAGTGACGTCCTAGAGGACAGGCAGTACGAGCTGGCTTTCCTTTCCGAGGCTGCTCCCCATCTCTGCTCCATGCT